CCGCCCCATCCAGGCTGTGGCAAAGGCTTTTGCATATGAATGCCCGGGCCCTTTGCAACCTGAAAATTACCTAACAAATTGCAGCTGGGACAGACAGACCCAGAACTTCCAAGAGAAGGCCCAAGGCCCCACAGCAGCTTGCATTGCTTCACAGCTGGGCCTCATCTGGGAACCCCCAAATCCCAAAAAAGGAAGGGGAATCTGCATATCTCTTCGTAGCTCCTGCTGGGTAACCTCAAGAAGAGGCTTAATTAGCACCTCCTTAGACCCAAGAGCCAGAGTACCCAGTGGTCAGAGTGGGACCATCCAGATTACAACTCCTCAGATTCATAAGGAACACACTCAGGGGGCAGACTCAGTGAGCACCAAAGCCCCACTGAAGCAAGTCTTGCCCCAGAAGGGTGTCCTCAGCACAGTTCTCCCACTGCAAACACAGCTGATTCTCACTGCCAATTGGCCTGGATTTCAATTCCTCCCAGTGAAACCTAAAACAATCAAGGCATAACTACAACAAGACTGTGCACAAAGCCCACAAGGGGGTGCACCAAGAGTGTCCACCTCAGGTAACTGGGGAGGCTGAGCCACTGGGCCCTGTAGGACACCTAGCACACAAAACCACTCTACCAACACAGGGAAGCAGGCAAAATGCGAAGACAAAGAAACAGGTCACAAATGACAGAAATGGAGGACAGCAAACGACTGGATATAGAGTTCAAAACCACATTTCTAAGGTTTTTCAAGAATTTTCTGGAAACTGCCTATAAATTTAGTGAGAACCTGGAGGATATGAAAAAAGACCAACTAGAAATTAAGCATACACTGACTGAAATAAAGAATAATATATAGCTGAAACCGGTTTGGCTCAGTGGATAGAGCGTCAACCTGCGGACTGAAAGGTCCCAGGTTCGATTCCGGTCAAGGGCATGTACCTGGGTTGCGGGCACATCCCCAGTAGGAGATGTGCAGGAGGCAGCTGATCGATGTTTCTCTCTCATCGATGTTTCTAACTCTCTATCTCTCTCCCTTCCTCTCTGTAAAAAATCAATAAAATATATTAAAAAAAAATTAGGGTTGGCATGCAGAAGAATTTTGAGTCAGAGATTTTGCTGGTTTTGGCACGCACTCACAAAAAGATAGCCCACCCCTGAACTAGGAGATCACAATTGGATTCTTGGTTAGGACACCTGCACTGGTTTTGAGCTCAGTCACCAGTGGAGGGTCGTGCAGGAGCCAGCTGATCAATGACTCTCTCTCATCATTGATGTTTTTATCTCTCTCTCCTCTTCCTCTAAGAAATAAAAAAATACATATATTTGCACATCAAATCGATGTACATAGTCTCATGTGGTCCTTCCGTAAAATCTAGAACGCCAGGATTGCTTCTTTTCTTTTAGCCTATTCTGAGTAACTGCAGTGCTTTCTTCGGGAAATGACAGGGCAAAGCTATTTTTCTTTTGGCTGTATTGGTGCACTAAATCTTTATTCTAAAGAAATAAATAGCCGAAACCGGTTTGGCTCAGTGGATAGAGCGTCGGCCTGCGGACTGAAAGGTCCTAGGTTCGATTCCGGTCAAGGGCATGTACCTGGGTTGCGGGCACTTCCCCAGTGGGGGATGTGCAGGAGGCAGCTGATCGATGTTTCTCTCTCATCGATGTTTCTAACTCTCTATCTCTCTCTCCCTTCCTCTCTGTAAAAAATCAATAAAATATATTTTTTAAAAAAAAAGAAAGAAAGAAAGAAATAGCCGAAACCTGTTTGGCTCAGTGGATAGAGCGTCGGCCTGAGGACTGAAGGGTCCCGGGTTCGATTCTGGTCAAGGGCATGTACCTGGGTTGCGGACACATCCCCGGTGGGGGATGTGCAGGAGGCAGCTGATCGATGTTTCTCTTTCATCCATGTTTCTAACTCCCTATCCCTCTCCCTTCCTCTCTGTAAAAAATCAATAAAATATATTTTAAAAAATAAATAAATAAATAAATGGAAACTTTTCTCTAATTTTTTCTAAATGAAAATTTTCATTTACACCAATATTAAAATCTTGATGAGAAAAATAAAAAAAATAATAATAATTTAAAGAATAAATAAATATACCTAGCCAATGTGCTTCACTGATGACAGTACTGCCTTGTAAACTTGAGGGGTAAGGTTTGATTCCCAGTCAAAGGTAGATACCTGGGTTGCAGGTCCGATCCCCACTCACAGTAGAGGCAACATGTGGGATGCAGCCAATCGATGTTTCTCTTTCTCTCTCTCTGTCTCCCACTCTCTCTCTCTAAAAAAACAATCAGTGGAAAAAATATCCTCACTATTCGGGTGAAGATAAAAGAAGAATAAAGAATTAAAATCAGAAAAGTTACAGGATGCAAAATAAACATGCAACCATTAGTTCCATTTCTACAATCTAATAATAAATTCTTTGATGGAAAAATGAAGAATGTAATCAAATTTACTGAGGAATCAAAAACAGCCCTAATCGGTTTGACTCAGTGGCTAGAGCGTCGGTCTGCAGACTAATTGTCCCAGGTTCAATTCCGGTCAAGGGCATGTACCTTGGTTGCGGGCACATCCCCAGTAGGGAGTGTGCAGAAGGCAGCTGATTGATGTTTCTCTCTCATCAATGTTTCTAACTCTCTATCCCTCTCCCTTCCTCTCTGTAAAAGATCAATAAAATATATATTTTTTTAAATAAAATAAATAAAAAAGAATCAAAAACAATAAAACCCAAAGGAATAAATTCAACCAAAATGTGAAATATCTGTACAGGGACTACTATAAGACAGTGATGAAAGGAATGAAAGAAAACCCAAATCAGTTGAAAGACAACCTGTGTTCATGGATCAGAAAATGAAATATGGTGGAGATAGCTATAGTACACAAGGCAAACTACAGATTATATGCAATCCCAATAACTCCAATGGTATTTTACAAAGAAAAGAACAGAAAATCTGGAAATGGGATCAAAAGACCTCCATTAACAAAAGCAATATTTTTTTTAAAAAAATATATTTTATTGATTTTTACAGAGAGGAAGGGAGAGGGATAGAATTTGAAACATCGATGAGAGAGAAACATCGATCAGCTGCCTCCCGCACATCTCCTACTGGGGATGTGCCCGCAACCCAGGTACATGCCCTTGACCGGAATCGATCCTGGGACCTTTCAGTCCGCAGGCCGACGCTCTATCCACTGAGCCAAACCAGTTTCGGCCAAAAGCAATCTTTTTAAAAAAATATATTTTATTGATTTTTTACAGAGAGTAAGGGAAAGGGAGAGTTAGAAACATCCATAGGAGAGAAACATCCATGAGCTGCCTCCTGCACACTCCAAAATGGGTATGTGCACGCAACCAAGGTACATGCCCTTGACAAGAATCAAACCTATGCCCCTTGAATCCACCGGCCGAGCCTCTATCCACTGAACAAAACGGGCTAGGGCAGTGGTCGGCAAACTGCGGCTCTCGAGCCATATGAGGCTCTTTGGCCCCTTGAGTGTGGCTCTTCCACAAAATACTGGCTTCTGTGCATGGGCCATGAAGTTTCAATTGCACCGTACATGTGCACCCGCATGTGGTATTTTGTGTAAGAGCCACACTCAAGGGGCCAAAGAGCCGCATGTGGCTCCCGAGCCGCAGTTTGCCGACCACTGGGCTAGGATAGCAAAAGATATCTTGAGCAAGAAGAAAGCTGGTGGCATCACACTCCCTGACTTCAATTTATTACAAAGAGAAAGCAAGCAAACAGTGTGTTGCTGGAGAAACACAGACACATATCAACAGAACAGAACAGCAAACAAACAAACAAACAAACAAAAACTCAGGCACATACTTTTAAGTAATCTTTGACAAAGCTGCAAGCCACAGAAGAAGGGAAAGATAGTTTCTTCTACGAAAGGTGCTGGTATAAACAGACATTCACGTGTAAAACAACAAAACTGGACAGCTCTGATAAAATCTAAGCCAACTGTATGACAGAATTAAATGTCAGCGCTAAAACTTAAAACTCTTCAGGACAATATAGAGAAAAAGTTCTAGAGGTTTGTTTTGAACAGGATTTTCTGAATGTGACACCAACCACCGCACAAAATAGAAAACATAAACAGTCCACACTGCAACAAATAAAGAAAATAGCATCTTCACTGAAGAACAGCAATAAACAACATGAAATGAAAGGCAATCTAGAGAACAGAAGAAAATACTTGCAAACCATATGAAGGAATCTCTTGGAGATATTGTGGATTTGGCTATGATCAGCACAATAAAGCGAATATTGCGATATAGACAGAAATTCACACAAAGAGTTGCAGTTCCCTGGGAATAATGAAGGTATGTTAATACTATACTGCAGGCTAATAACAATGCAATGACTCTGCCTCAAAAGCAAAGTCCATATAACTTCATTAACAAGATTTAATTGCTAAGCACTAGTACCAAGCATCTGAGCTTGCTAGCAACATGGGGGCACTAGACCTGCTGAACCCAGGGTTGCCAAAAACAAAACATGGATTTTGTAGAAAAGCAGGTGTGGGGAGCCATATCTGCAAAGCACAATTAAGCACGAGAAAAAATATGTATTCCTGTATGTCGAAAGCAATTAATATATAAAATATACAAGGTATTCCAAAGATTATTCAACCAAAAGATACAGTTAATAAACAGGATAAGGATTTAGAGGCAATTCTTCAAGAAATACATACAAATGACCAACAGGAATATAGAAAATGCTTTTTCCTCAGTGATCAAGGTAGAATCCCTTAGGCTTCCAGCAACACTACCAACCACAAGTCCTTCTCTGTGAATTTAGTGCAGCGGGGAGTATTGGGACTTCAGGAATAGAAGGGAGCAGTGGAAACAGACCAACCCTCCCCAGGACAGCAACTACCCAGGAATCTGGAAAATCAAGCAGTTCCACAGTCTACATGGGAGGACAGAGCACACCCTGGGGGATGAGGTCTGGGAAACCTCAAAGCCAAGTCCAGGTCACAGGTGACAGTGAGGGTCTTACCCAGCGAGGATATAAGTTCAAAGTTCTCCAGCATCACGTTCAGGTACAGCTGTCTCTGACCCTCATCAAGGAGGCTCCATTCCTCCCTGGAGAAGTACAGGGCAATGTCCTCAAAGGTCACGCCAACCTGTCACAATGGAGACAATTTTAAGCAGACCTGCCTTTCTGAGGACCATTAATCCTACTCCTTACACACCTTCCCCCCCTCAACCTCCTCCAGGGCACCCAGTTAGTGTGGACACCAGGCCCTAATGCCAGTGCAGGCTGCTCTCTCATCACAGTCCCATTACTCACTGCATAGCCCTCAGCAGAGCAGCTGGGATGGCAGGGAAGGACTGAGGGAGGGGAGGGTAGAGGGCAATGCCATTTAAGGTCTGGGCGATGCCTGCAGGGCCCCAGCCTTCCTCCCAGGCAACACCACTGCAGTCTCCTAGATCCTGCCGCCAAGACAAAGCCAAGCGTCGGTTTATGCTTCACCGTTAAGTCCCCACAGGAGGTCCCGGGACCATCAGCTCACACTTCCTCCAGATGTGCACACCACTGGGTATGTTCATCCCCTTCCCATGTTCAGACCCCAGGTTCACTCCCTCAGCTCTGCCCTCTTCCTGCTCCAATGCCACTAGATCTCGCTGGACTCACCCATGAACTTGGCATATGGCGTGTAGAGAGCTTGTAGTCCAGCCGGATCCAGGACCACCCCAGGCCCCAGATGGACCCACAGCCGGGAAAGCCCCGCATGAGTCTCTGCTGTCCTCCCTGCAACCTCCGATCTTTCCGTCAATACTCACAGCTACATCCTCAGGGACCTTCAGATGCAAGTCACCCCCGTCCTCTCTGCCCTGCACTTGCTGTGTCCTCAGAAGCCACAACACTCCTCTCTCCCCTCCGCCTTCCTCACGGGCCTCCACGCGGGACTGAGCTGCAGGACGGGACAGGCGCCCTCCCCAGGCTGTGGTGTCTGTGTGAGGAGGCGGTGAGGGCCTGGGGGACTGAACTCACCTCAGCCCGTCTCCTCAGCGGGGGCGCCGCCATTGCCCTCTGTGGGCTGAGCCGGGCGGGAGTAGAAGCCGCTGCAGGAATGGCGGTCCCTGTCCCGGCCCTGGCGTCGGTTCGGGCAGTGACTCCGAGCTTCAATCCCAAGCCTGAGCTGTGAGCACCCCTTGAGGCTCCGATCATTGGCTGTGAGGCGGGGAGCACCACTCTCCGGCCTTCTCCACGGGACTGTGAGACCAGGAAATCCTAAGCGACTGAGACAGAGGCTTGAAAAGACAAAACTTCCCCACGAGGACCATAGTCCCGCCCTTCAGAAGCGGCCAAAGGGAAATGCCTTCTCTGAGCCCCCATTGGCTCTTCCTGTTGGCATTCCATGCGTGGCCTTGTGGGTAATGTAGTTTTCCCCCTCCAAATCCAGGATCGGGTATTTCACAGTTGAACAAAGGACTGGATTTAGGGGCAAAGAGCCCCAAATACAACAAGTATACTAAGGGTCCTCTAGCGGCTTCAGGGGAGGGGATGTCTGGGGCAAGTTTTTTTTCAGGCACCTGCGTGGCAGGTTTTGCATATCTTTCTTAAGGACCTGCTCTTTCTGAATGGCAAGGCACTGTTTGTTCATTCATGATTTTGGCATGTGTCTCCTTCAGCTCATTTGTAGCAGGGGGAGGTGCCTCAAGTCTCTAAATTGATCTAACCTGCCTCCATTGAATCCATTATACAAAGTTCATGTCACAAAACAGACACTCATATTTAAGACCATCTGCTTCTGATGCCACCGGAAGTGTCAGCTCTGCCTGGGCTGCAGTGTGGATAAGATGGCCAAGAGACATGTGAAAAATGCTCAAAGTGACTAATCATCAGAGAGATGCAAATTAAAGCAACAATTAGTTATCACCTCACCACTGTCAGAATGGCTTCCATTAGCAAATAAACAAAGCATAAGTGCTGGGGAGGATGTGGAATAAAGGGAACCCAGATCACTGCTGGTGGGAATGCAAACTGCTACAGCCATTATGGAAATCAGTTTGGAGTTTTTGCAAAATATTTGGTAAGGAACTGCCATTTTATCCAGTGATTTTACTTCTAGGAATATATCCTAAGAAACCTGAAACAATCAAGTAGACAGTATGCACCCCTCTGTTCATAGAAGCACAATTTACAATAGGAAAGGTCTGGAAACTGCCTAGGTACCCATCAGTAGATGAGTGGATAAAAAACTGGTATATTTACACCATGGAATGCTATGCAGCAGTAAAAAAAAAAATAATAATAATCTCTTACCCTGTCACACAGTATGGAGGGACCTGGAGAGCGTCAAGCTAGGTGAAATCAGTCAGTCAGAGAAGACAGTATCACTTGATTGCACTCACATTTGGAATATAATGAACAAAACACTGATGGAGTGGATTCAGAGACATGGAAGCATGGAAATTACTGCAGAATCTCAGAGGAAAGTTGGGGAAGGCAAAAAGAAACATCCTCAGGTAAGGATTAAAAACATGCACACACACAATGAAAACAAATTCACCTGGGCCTTGAGCATCTTCTTCTGTTGTCTGAAAGCAAGGGGAAAGCTCTAGCTTGCTGGGTTCTGGGTCTGCTCTACATTTGTGTTTATAAATCTGTCTTCCATCACTTGAGTCCCTGGAAATGCTGACACCTCTCCATGTAACCTTTTCCTGCTTCCCATGAGTCAATTGCTTTTGGTGATGTAAGAAATGTCCAAATTGTGGAGAATTTTTCTCTTTATTTGACTCAAGTCGGAGACATTTGCCAGGAAGGAAAGGAACAACAGATTGAGGAATGCTCGGGAGAACGGCAGTTTTGCATCTTTTTTATACATTAGCCTCAAAGGAGAAGACATAAGGGGGTTACATGACATTCACTGGTGATAAATTAGGGGGGAGAGGTAAGGAGGAAAATCTCTTAGACTGGATAAACAGTAAAAAAAATAGACACACAATTATTTTTACGTCTATCGATTAGTTAACAGGTAATATTTAACACAAGAGCAATAATAATTGGGGCTCTGCATTGGCCTGTGGACTGAGGGGTCCCAGGTCCGATTCCGGTCAAGGGCATGTACCTGGGTTGCGGGCACGTCCCCAGTGGGAGGTGTGGAGGCAGCTGATCAATGTTTCTTTCTCATCGATGTTTCTAACTATCTCTCTCCCTTCCTCTCTGTAAAAAACCAATAAAATATTTTTTTAAAAAATAAAAATAAATAAATAAAAATAATTGGGGCTCTGTGATTTTCTGTGTTGGGAGATTGTGCTTAGGAGTCTGTGAAACGGAAATGTCCCTGAAAATCCAAAGGTATGTCATCCCAGATGCAAAAAGACAATGGACAGGTTCAATAAGGTAAAAATTATCCTTTACAAAAATAAACAAAACAACAACAACAAAAATAAACAAAACAAACAAACAAAAAAACCCCAACAGGCTACTACATAAATAACCAGGTGACTAGCTTTTACTTGGAAAGTTTTCACTTGAAAACATCCTATATGGTTTACTTTTAGCCTCTGAGTTTGCAAGATTGGCTATGCCATCCCAGGCCCCCTGAGCTTGCTAGATTTACTGTGTGCCACCATATTTGTCCATACTGGGGAGTTAGAGCCTGTGATTGAGGAGGAAATTCAATGAGTGGTTTTTTCACTCTGGGAACTATTGTTATGTCCTCCTGAACAAATGCCCCAAGTATTGCTGGTGTCCCTTTATTTGGTCTCCTAGAAGGAGTCACTCTTTTTTTTTTTTAAATTAAATCTTTATTGTTCAGGTTATTACATTTTTTTCCCCACATAACTCCCCTCCTCCCAGTTCCCGCCCCACCCTCCGCCCCCACACCCACCCACTGTCCTCATCCATAGGTGCACGATTTTTGTCCAGTCTCTTCCCGCATCTCCCACTCCCCTTTCCCCTCCCCCAAGAATAGTCAGTCCATTCCCTTTCTATGTCCCTGATTCTATTATAATCACCAGTTCATTCTGTTCATCAGATTATTTATTCACTTGATTCTTAGATTCGCTTGTTGATAGATGCATGTTTGTTGTTCATAATTTGTATCTTTACCTTTTTCTTCTTCTTCCTCTTCTTAAAAGATACCTTTCAGCATTTCGTATAATACTAGTTTAGTGGTGATGAACTCCTTTAGTTTTTCCTTATCTGTGAAGCTCTTTATCTGACCTTCAATTCTGAATGATAGCTTTGCTGGATAAAGTAATCTTGGTTGTAGGTTCTTGGTATTCATCACTTTGAATATTTCTTGCCATTCCCTTCTGGCCTGCAAAGTTTCTGTTGAGAAATCAGCTGACAGTCGTATGGGTATTCCCTTGTAGGTAATTGAGTCTCTTTCTCTTGCTGCTTTTAAGATTCTCTCTTTGTCTTTTGCTCTTGGCATTTTAATTATGATGTGTCTTGGTGTGGTCCTCTTTGGATTCCTTTTGTTTGGGGTTCTCTGCGCTTCTTGGACTAGTCTTCCTCCATGGGCAAAAATGTTTGAGACCACATAAAAGTTTTTGACTTCATCATGCTTGGAGAGCCCACATCTCCTTATAAACTAATCAACACAGTAAATAGAACACCTAAGATAAAAGACGTCTTAGGAAAAAGCCTTCATTATTTTGCAAAGAAAGAAACCTGAGTCTGGCAGTTCTCCCATTGATGATTTATAGGCGCTCAATAAACTCATTATTAGCATCTAGGGAAAGTGTGTCCCTGAAATGGCAGTTTATTATGTTTATTGGAACCAACAGTAATCAGTTCTATGTGGCAACTCATGACAGGGAACCAAATAAGAACTAAGGGCTCAGGTATTCCTAATTTTCTTCAACAAATTAGACAACAGACTTAGCTTCCCTCGGCACAGGAGGATTAATGAAAGGGTGAGGACTACACCCTCCATCTTACCCTGGATCCTCCATTTTTGGACAGCCATGTGCTTGGTAAGGCTTCTTCCCGGAAGCCCAAGCCTCTTCTAGCCACACCCAGGATTACTTTAAACTAACCAATGACAATCAAGGGAAGTGCGCGCCCTAGATATGACCACATCCTGTGT